GAATTAGTAAGCTAATTAAATGAATCCGAAAATATGTATTTATTATATTTAAATATTTATTTTATAAAGTGTATAACTTAAATGTTATACATTTTAATTAAATTCAATTTTGAATTTAATGTTTTTGGATTTTATAATTTTCCTTCGTAAACCTAATTTTCTCACCGCTGCTGTATATGGCAGCTATATATGTAAATATCTGTGCATGAACACGACTTTGGAGTTTTTGGACTCGGACTCTGCTGAGAGGCCAAGTTGGCAAAGTGCACTCGAGAAAAGGGCGACACAAAAGCGCCCCCAAAAACGATGGAGTTTTCAACGAGGGGATGCAAAAAAAAAAGGGGTAAAAGGGGGCTGTTACCCTTGCAAGGAGCCAAATGCAACAGCACACGTGTTGCACAGATGTGCGGCAACAACATAAGTTGCCAAGTGGCAAACAATTACTCCGCAAGTTTTTTTTTTGGTGGAAAATCGTGGGGATGATGCGTTTTAAAGTAGGGAAAACAGAGGGGGTTGTATCGTTCTCGTTCCAATGAAAACTTTTTTACAACATGACGATGGGTTTAATACCCACTTTTCCTGAAAGATTTATGAAAACACCCGAAAAATACCTTATATAAAATTGTATCAATTGGGTTAATATATATAATATTAATATAAATCTTACATTTTTAGTTATAGAGCCTCTAGACTCTCAAGACGACCAAAGACAACGTTTCAAGGTCTCCGACTTGAGCTTCGACACTAATTCCCATAGCCACAGATACAGATACAGATTCATATCCAAAGTTAAGCTGAGATACGAGTACCGAGACAAGGAGACAACGAACGAACAAATCTGGCTTGGCAACCGCAGAAAATCTCAAGATATGTGTTACCAAGATTCGAGAGATTTTGGTTGGTGGCAGAAAGAAATAAAGCATTTTCCTTTCGCTCGCTGATTTATTGTAAACTGCGCCTATTATTATACTGCCCCCTCCGCCGCTTTTCACCTCACCTCTCCGCCTTTTTTCCTCTTTTTCGGATGCTTCATTTTCATGGCATTTTATTGTCTGTACTTTACTTTTTTCAGTTTTTTCTGTCTTGCCTCAATTGTCTGGCATTGCATGGTTTTATTTCTTATTTCCCCCTTTTTAGCCCCTCGACAGCCTCTTGGCTTCAAATAATTTTATATTTAGCCGCCGTTTCTGCCTGCTTCTTCTCCGACTTCGTCAAGAAAAGCGGCAAACAAGAAGCCTAAAAAAATCAGAAACGGCGAAAATTAACCAGAGGCAAGCATTTCGTGTGGCACGATGTGAGAAGTGCCGGGGATCCGCTTCAGTTTTATATATAGAATTGCAACAATGCGAACACGGCACCTCGAACAGAAGAACCATGCGGCCAAAGAGGCGAATACTTTGAGAACTATCGACAATAGTTCAGATCGGCCGATAGTTCCGATAGCCCAGTAATTTCCTCGATAATTTTATTGGCAAAAGCATATATATTAACCAAAATCGAAGTTTTCAGCACTTAGTGCTCCCCCAATCTCCCCATTATTTCTTTTAATTTAAATGTATTGTTTATCGATAAATAAAAGAAAGGTAAGAACAAATGCAAAATTAGCCCAAAACACATAAATAAGTTGCTTTGTGATATAAATGAAACAAAAATAAAGAGACAATAGCCTAAACGCATTTATTAAAACTATTTAAACTGATGTTCAAAAAGAAAAGAACACCCATTAATCGATTACCCACTGAAACAAATAGCGATATTAACGTCTTATGGTTAAATTAACATCTGGTTAATTAGCACTTTGTTTGTGAATTTGGTGAATTGCAATATATGAACATCAAACTGCGACAAATTAAAACAATTCACGGGTTGCCCAATTAATCAAGCTGCGAGAAGATATACATTCAGATGCGGATTCCGATTCCAATTCCCTTTCATTCGGCTGAGACGTGAATGCGATTTCATTATTTCATTAGTCGAATCTGGAAACCTTAACGAGGGGAAAGTGCAAATTTCGCGATGCCCCGGGAGGAACAGTAAGTTACTTGCTCTCTCCGCTGGCAAATAAAAACATTATCCACACACGCGCCCGCCGCCGATCGACTAATTAAACAGAAAACAAAAAAACAAACTTTGATGTATTTTTGATTTGATTATTTTCCAGCCCTACGCTTCTCGATGCCAAATTTGTATTGATGTCTTTGTAAGGGCGAAAAAATTGCCAGCAGATTTATTGGATTTTTTCTTTTGATATTCAATGTGAGTTGTTAACGGCGGCAGCTGTTGTTAATGAGCTCCAAGCTCCACTGTACCCCGTGTGTACTCCACTGTAGCCCAAATTGTATTCGAACATCTCTCATTTCAGCTCCAAAAGTTCGTGACTTTTTTTTGGGCGGCAAATGGAGGGATTCATGTCATATCCGCATAATGAATTTGCATTTTAGCTACAATTTCGCAGATCCGCGTAATTTGAGGCGATTTACTTGCAACACATAGAGGAAAAAAAAGAAGGGAGTGAGTGAATTGGAAAGCGCCAAAAAAAATTGGGCTTGCACACTCATCCAATTTGATGGATTTGATAACTTTACATATCATTTGTTTGCTATTAATCAGCACGTAATTTTTTGCAACTTGAACCATATATCATATATCATAGTCAAGAGATCTGATGATCAGTATTGAAAATATAGGGAATGATATTATTTCTATAACCTCGGGTTAAGTTAAAGTTAAACTTTAAAACTAGTTTACTATCGTTATTAATGAAAGTAAATACAAATATTGAGATCATTTCAACTAATCTAATAATATTCGTAGGCAATTACGCTTGATCAAATATTTATATTAATTTACTAATACCAGTTTTAATGACAATTTTCAGTACTCAGATGCGGAAGATGTGTGTGCCGAAGAAGATGGCCAAAAACAGCAAAAAGATGGAAAACCAGTCATGGCAATGGGTAAATAAAAAATCGATTAGAGCAATGGTAATACCCCCGAAGCAAATAACACTCAAAACGAGGAAAACCAATAAACGGGGAAAACGGGGAAGCAAAGAAAAGTTAATGGAGGTGGTATGGGATCATCATCATCATCATCATAAGAGGTGTTCGACCAAAGTTCTAATCAAAATATTGTAAAATACGAAGGGGAAAAGAAACCAAAGCCAAGAAGAAGAAGATGCAGAGTGAAAGGACAGTCAAAGAGCAAAAAAAAACAAAACATAGCCAAAAAAAAGAGAAAAAAAACTAACAACTAAATTTGTGAAACCGTTATTATCATGTCGTGTTTCGCCCCATCTCCCTCTCTCTCCCCCTATCTCTATATCTGTCTCTGTCTTTTGACCAGCTCGATTATGAAAGATACATTTTGTATCTGTATTTTTGTGCTTTTTTTGGTAGCTGTGTTTTAGCCATTTGTGTTTGCATCAAAAACCATCGTTTTACCATTTTGTACTTTTTACACATTTTTTCTTGCTCTTTCTTGTTCGGCGATTCGATTCGTTTGCATTAATCCAATTTGTTGTTGCCGCTGGCGTTTTGTTGTTATTCAGTGAGTAGGTGTAAGTGTGTAGGTGTGTCTGTATCTATGTGCGGGTGCTAATTCAATTAACGGCATTAAACAAGGCGCCTCACTGCTATCGATATTTCAGCACAATTGCCTATCGAGGGATTTACTATTTCCAAAGTACCACCGAATATTTAATAGTTCTTAGGGTATTAAAAAAAGTTGAATACTAAACTATAGATTTTTTAAACATTTACGGAAATTCAACTTGAATAAGACTTCAAATTTTGTTATTAAAAGTTTTGTTATCGACATTTCATGATAATTACCTATCGAAGGCTTCACAATTTTTTATGTGCATTAATACTTAAATGAAAAACTGGTCATACTATAGGGACAAAAACATATTTGTATTGTATAACTTCTGGATCAAATCTCGCGACTTTAACTTATATTTATTATTTATTTCCCCATTAAATTAGTGCCCCTCTGCTAAGTGTTAAGTGCTCGCTGGGCAGCTAAAAAATGAAATGAATGAGTATGTAGGCCTAGTCGAGGGTTCAAAATCGCGAAACTGTAACAAACTGGCCAGAAACGAGAGCGAAAGGTAGAAGGAAAACTCGACCAACGCAAAGGTGCAATGCCAACCGCATTTTATGTGCTAGTATTTCTCATATTTTTTCCATTTCGCCCCAGGCATGTTTACAAACTTAAAGTACACAAAAAAGACTTGTGTATGCCCCACTCATTTTCCGAGCTTTTTCATCATCTCTTCCCCTTTATAGCTCATTATGTCAGCCGTTTTTATGGTCAACCCGACACCTCAACTATTGGAAATTACTTTTTCCATATTTTTTAACGAAACCTCTTCTTCTAAATCACCCAACAAATAGATCAGTGGAGCAACCAGCAGGGGAAAAGTAGAGAACTGAAGTGAAGATGACAAGAAGCTATTTTCTATGTTCTACGACTTTCGATTTTACACTTGGAAGGGTAAAACGGCAAAAAACAAAAAAAAAAGAGAGAGCAAGTGTGAAATGCGATCAGAAGTAGAGTAAATAAAGGCGTGTGTGTAGGCCAGTGTACTACATCTATAACCCTCTCAGGGGTCTGAAAATAGAGCGGAGTCATAAGAAAATTTCCCTACATCTCAATAACCGATTTACAAATTAATAAACTTATTTTTTTGTCATTTTGTTAGGAAACTTTTTTGTAAATTTTTATTGCTTGAAAGACTCATACAATTTTCTTTTAGATTTTGTGTGAATATTTTTGGATCCACAGAACATTAAATCTCTAGTTTTTGATAGCGATTAATATTTCCGATTATTTCGATAATTTGCAAAATTCCTCTCATTCGTTATTTTTTACTCTTCTTTAGAATTACTGGAAATTCCTGTCACTTGGCGGTAAAAAAAAACTATTAAACACTTGGAAAAGGTTGCGGCTGCGCCGTCTCGCTCGCACCCACGCTCCTGCGAGAGCATTTCACTCACCTTCTCCTTTTTGCCAGTTTTCCAGAGAGAGAGGGCTGCCGATGATCCTCCTCTCTTTTTCCAGTGCGTGTGCGCAACAACTACACGAATACTGGATACTGGAAGTCGAAGCCTCTTCCTTTTCTTCTCTCTTGATGCTGCTTCTTCTTTAGTTGTTGTTTCTCTCGGGGATCCGGTTTTTTTTTTGTTAATTTCTTTCAACTTGTTTTTCTTATTTCTCCTTTCTTATTTGCCTCTCATCTCCAATCTTGTTGTTGTATTTTCCAAAAATATATAAAACAGCACACTTGCACACAGGAAAAAAATGTAATAATTTTGGTAGAAAAAACGGCACTGGAATTATTCTCTTGTGGAATTTTTGGTTGTTGTTGTTGAGTTATTCGATTGATCGGCGAGATAAAAAAATAATAATACACATTCACCAACACACGCGCGCGTTTTTGAAAGAGCGAGGGAGAGAGAAAGAGCGCGCGATAGTAAACACGTGAGAAAAGAGAAGCCTTTTTATTTATTTTTTCACTATTTTTTGTCCTTTGCGTTTGACTAATTTGCCAAAAAGAAACTCTAGCATTTTCGCGGTCAACCGGTTTATCGCTCCTCCTTTTTTCGTTCTTCAAATTACAACTGTCGTTCGCTTTAAATAAACCTAAGGCATTTTAAAACTATTTTTCTCGTAATATCTTTACTTCTTTCGTTCCGAAAATGGGTTTTTGGGGAATTTGTTTACAGCAGCTCCCTGGTGCTCAGAAATTTCCAACTTTTCGCGGCGGAGCTGGAAATCCAACTGTTGTTTCGATTCGCGGCAATAGCCACGGCAAATCGCCAGAAAACCGCTTTCAAACCGCAGCATCGAACCGTAACATGTTCGACAGAACAGAAATGTAAAGATATATTTTGTTAAATTTAATTTCATATAGGTACAACAAAAAATCCATAAAAAAAAGGAAAAATATGAGCTTTAATCAATATTTTTAAATATTTTGTGATTTATGGTGCGCTTTTTAATAATCCTTTTTTATTAAACATGTATAATTTATATTCAGATGGCTAATATATTGTCTGTCAGTTCAATAGTATTCGATTTATTGTGTTGAACTTTTGTTTTCAAAAAATTCCAAAAATTTATTGATAATATTTTAATGTTAATAATTAAAAGATGTTTCTTTAAATTCACGTTACAGGTTTTCTTGCGTTGCAAGCGAGCAGTGCGCAACCATGGCCAACCCGTTCGGACAAAAACAAGTCCAATTGCCGGCGAAATGTTGCAGGGAACATGTTTGAGAAAAACACACAATGGTGTTGTTCCCGCCACATTTGGCTAGAAAATGTAGAAAATCATAATTGGAAATGTATTTTTATAAACATTTAAGCCCAATTAAAAGACTTAATTGAAGTTAACTTTTTTTACAATAAGTCGAAGTGGAATGGATATACCTGTTCAAAAATAGATTACAATTTTTTAAAAATTAGAAATAACATCTTATCCGTAATTTTAGTTTAAACGCGAATGAAAAAATAATTAATACGACTGAAGTTATTACCCAATAAACCAATAAATGCAAAATCAATGAACTATTTACAAATTTAATTCGCTTTAAAAAATGCCGTCAAATAGCTAGATGTTCGAAGGCCAAAGTGGCATCACTGGTCCCTGACCCGTTCAAGCGGTTTGTTGTTGCTCGCCCTCGCGCGATGTTCGACACAGCCTGCTGCGCATGCGCAACGGCCGCCGGTTTGAAGCGCAACAGTTTGATAATTGTTTGGTGCTTCGGATCGAACAAGTTCGCCGCTGTAGGAATCTATGTTAAGTTAACATTTACTTTTCGGCCAAATCAATTATTTATTGGCCAAAGCCAAATACACAAAATACAAATCGAAAACAAATAGTTCGCTCTAAGTGTGCATATATAAAATGAATAAATGTGTTTACCTACATATTTGTGAAAAATGGCTTGAGCAAACGGGTGTGCGAGTGGGATGGCGCATAGTTTGAGTGCGTAGTGAGCAGGTAAAAAAGTTCGATGGCATTATTTTTGCTTTTTATACACATGTACATTGTACAAAGAGTATTTAAATTATTAACAAGTTTTATTACTTTTATATTTTATGCCAGCTTTTAAAGAAAATAAGTCCATTTCCATCGGAGAATTCTAATAAAAAAAAATATTTTAACCTTAGGTTAAGGACTGATTTCTCATCAGCCTGTTAAACTAAAAGTTGGTTCTTAACGAATATTAACATTTCCATCCGATTTTTATTTTTCATGTGAGTAAGTTATATTTATTTGTTTGTACGTTTATCTTTTTTCCCATATACATATAAGTCAGAGTATCCAATATTCCGCTTGGCTTTTATTTGAATTTCTTCGCCTTTTGCACTTGACTTTGAGCCACTACTACGTGTACTCGTTGCTATTAATGTTGCGTAATTAAATGCGCAATGCATCCCAATTGGCATTTCAATTTGAATGCGGCTAAAACGTAACTACAGCACTGCTATTTTCTGGCCTTCGAGGGAAGACCCCCCTCAACCTCAACACCCAATTCCCCCGCCACCGCCAAGGTCAAGGTCACTGGCCAAACATCAAAAATGTTCAGCTCAGTTTCGTTTTGCGTCTAGCGTTCTTTATTTTATTTTCGTTTGACCTGCAGTTTACTTGAGGCTCTTCAAGTGTATGTGTGTTTTTTGGGTGTTATCGAATATCATGTTTATAAATTCGGTTCATAATTAACTTTCTTTAGTCATTTCGGTACCAAATGTTCTTCTTGCCATATGCCTTTTTTGCCCCATCCCCGTTATAACGTATCTTTCTACCACTTTCTAACCAAGTAAGACGACCCAAAGAACCTTCGGCTTCCTTGTGTTTATTATTTTTCCTACTTGTTTTGGTCGTCATGCTACACTCACCACCTTAGTTATGAAAAGCAAAAGAAAAAACTGGTCCAAAAAAAGTATATATCAGTGGCGTAGAAAATGGGGATAGGTTATAGGTGTTAAGCCCCCTTGCCACAATCCCTTTAAGGTGAAATTCCTATGCAAAATAAGGTCAAAAAAGGTAAGCCATAAAAAATTGATTTTGAAAACCCCTCCTCCACCAATTATTGGCTACGCCACTGGATGCATATGTCAGCAAGCCAGCCACAACGGAAATAAAATAATAAAAATGTATAGAGAAAAATTAAATATGTATATTTATAAAAAAAAAAACACCTTTAAATAACAATTGTATAATATTAAGCAGTGCTTTTCCATGAGAAACCATCGCCATGAGGCAAATTATAAACGAACCCTTTACTTTAGAAGAATATATTTTTAAAAGATCAATGAAAGTGCAACAGCGACACAAAGAAAAATCGACGAGTGTCCAATGCAAGATTTTGTGACTTTATGGGCTAAGCTGCCCTGTTGTAGAACAACTTTAATTAGGATTAAAACCTGGCTTGGATCTCATTTCTATTTACCCGTGAGCAAATCACGTTAATCACCGAAGCGTAGGAAAGGAAAAGCGCTACTCGAAGGGGAAAAAATAGAGTGTCTGTCTGGTCATTGTTTGGACTTTTGCTTTCGGCGCCAAAGAAAAATGAAAAGCCGCCACCAACAAACATAGAGAATGGGTTCTCTGTTTTTTGGCAAGGTGATTTTTAGGTTTTTAGGAAGATCACTAAACTACCAATTACCTTTATGATGCTGTCTCTCCATCCCTCCCACCTTATTAATACCTATCTGCACTTTTGCACAAGCCTTTCCATTGACAGTTATAATTACTTTAATGATGATTTCAGCTTCAGTTGACTTGCGGTGGGAAAACGAGGAGAAGTCGAGTCGAGAGAGGAAAATCGTGTGGAAATTCAAGGGATTGCCTTTGTTTGTGAGCGCTTAAAATGCAATTATGCATTTGCAGGACGAAAGGCAGGCAGCACAAGCACAGGACTTTCGCCAGGGCGGGTTGCAAAATAAATTTAATTGCAATGCGTTGGCAAATCGAATTAAACAGTGTAAAAGGAACAACAACAAGTGGCACACCCAAAACAACAAAAAAAAAACCAAACAAAAAAAGCAGAAAAAACAAAAGAGACATTTCAGAAAACACCAAGCTCTTTTCCCCTGCGGCAACAACGCCATCCAATTGAATATATTAATGCAAATTAACCCATTAATGTCTGCCAATTTCAGGCAGCAGCAAAGGGGCTTAATCCGAAAAGAGGTGGAAGAAACAAACTGACAATTATCCCAAGGGAATTCGCGCTGAGGAAATTAAAGCTGTCCCGGGTACAGCATACAAATATAGTTTTATTCAATTTCAGACAGCAAAAAATTAATTTTCAGGGATTAAGTGACGGTTAAGCTCGGTTTAAATTTTCAAAACCTCGTTTTTTCAAAGTGTTCTAATTATAAATTATTTTTTGCAAGCCTTTAGATCGAAAGTTAACGCGCTTTTCTCTCCACCCAAAAACCCTTGGCATTATGCCTACAATTATTCAATTAAAAAATTCCCCGCCCACTTTGCGCCGCCGCCACCCACAACTTTTGGCCAAGAAAATTCAGAGTGCGAGTGGCTGACAACAATGTTGGCAGCTGCATGGAAAACTTGGAAAACTTTTTAAGTGACTTCTAATAGCGAATTATGATGCAGCAGCCAGCGAAGAAGGAGAGAGGATGAGACACACAAGGGTTAACGGGGGGCCAAGAAGGCGGCCAATTTTCAATGCACTGTGGGTGGTGAGGTGGTGCGAAAGGGGGTGGAAAATAAAGGAGCTGCGGCGAAAAGTTCACGCTTAAAACTTGACAACGATAACTTCATTGAGGAATGGAAACTGCGGGGCGCTTTGAAGGGGGGAAGAAAAGTGAGGGATATGGAAGCCACACACATGCCTGAGAAGGAGGTGGAAGAGGGTTGGGGGGTTGCACTTGCCTAAGACCGGAAGTGAGAGAGAAATTTTAACAAAGTTAGTTAGTTTCTTCCTTCCTTCCTGGCTTCCTTCCTGCTCTTCCTGATTTTCAAATGCACTTAAGGAAAAAACAATCAGTTTATAAAAAATATACAGAAAAGATAAAAATTGTATAATTAATAATAGAATAGAATACATAATAGAATTTCTATCATAGTTCGCACTTACGAATAATATCCGAATTTTGGTATTTATTTTAGATTTTTATGCTTAATCGCTTTCATTTCCGTTTGAACTTCCACAAAAAAATGTCCCTACTTTTATTAGTAATGGCATATTAAGTTCAAGGGAAATTTTTTTCTAAATTAAGTAATTCCATTTGGATTTTCCTCGTGGTAAACAAGTTTCGATGAGTGGATGTGTGGCTTTATATAATGACAAAGTGCACTCTGACGTTATCATCATCATCAGTGGAACGCATGTCGCAGCCCCTTCCCAACCCCTTCCATACTCCTTCCCTACCCCTTCCTTGCCCCTCCTTACACACCCCTGATTTCAGAGACCTCAAAAAGTTGCTCGTTTTAATGAATTATGCGTACATTGATAATAATTTCCTGGTTCTGGCTCCCTTCGCCAACAAGTTATGGCTTTTTTGGCCATACGACAACCTGAAGAGCAACTAGGAACCCGCCCACTTTTCTCAGTTTTCCCACTCCTACGCCCACCTGAAAACCTTGAGGGGCGAGAGGGCGTAGTTGCGTGTTGCTGTCTGCACTAATATAAAAGTTTCGTGCACTTTTAATAAGGCTGCGTTTATGACGACAGCGGCGGCGGAAAAACAACAAGAATGAAAAACTGCAAGGATTCGGCGAAGAATGGGCGGAAAA